CTTTAATATTCTGACAAGAACTTTTAGGCTTAAGCGTAGGCCCTAGGAAGTTTGAATTTTCATTGTATGGAATTCTTAGCATCCTATATTAAGTACATGGACTCCTCATTCACTTGCTGTTGAGAGCAATTTTTCCATCACTCAGCATTTCTTCTCGGATTTGGCAAGTCATTTGGGGTCACTGGAATGTAGAGAAAGCTCAAACACGCCACCTCAGCTAGAATGAGCAGAAATGGGATTTGATAAACGTTTTAATACTCCCAGGAAAGTAACAGAAGGCCTCATGATAAAAAGAGAACAGGGAGGAAAGTAGAGCCCTAAGATTACCAAGGCATTGCTCCCTTCTTCAGAAACCTATTTTGGCTTTTTTTTTTTTTTTTTTTTTTTGAGTCAAGAATCATGAAGCCTATTATTTAAAACAAGAAGAGTTTTTTAAAAATTAGCCCATGATTTCTGCAGAAAAACGTAAAGAGGAAAAACTCTAACCAATTACCGAATGCCATGGACAGTTACAACTTTTAATGAGCACCTCCTCACTCCATCTACTCGGGGCTTTAACCTCAGAAAATTAAGCATACAGAGTGGGAGAAAGAGAACTCGTCTCAACAGAAAGCCAAAATAAATTATTACCTCTGCCCTCATGTATTTTTCACCACGTATAAGCAGCCTGTCACGTCAAATTATGGCAGGGTCTGGTTCTAAGACGCACACATACATTCGGAGCGTATCTCTTTGACACTCCACCCACCCACGCACGCACACTAACCTAAACATTAGTGAAATTCCCATCATTAGTGAAATTCATCTCCCAGTAGGATGGCCTGTTTGAGGTTCAAGGTGCTTGCATCCTAGGGGGAAATGGGGAATAGTCTTCACCTCTGCAGGCCTCAGTTGACAATTCTAGAGATACATATATCAAAACAGGATAGTTGACCACACTCTTCTCTGGGACGGGGCTGTTGAATCCCTCTGCTACTGGGTAGTGCTTTACAGTGGCCCGGGGATGAGTACTGCACACAGCAAAAACTTTAGTGGGGGAATTGAGAATTCGGGGTGTGCATGGGTGTGTTTCCCCCCTCCTTTCATGCTGGCAGCTTAGTCCTAGCAACGAGCTGAGATAAAGATTTAATACAGTATTTCTTTACGGCGGGGAGGAAGAAGAGTATGTGCACTTTTAATGCTTAGGTAGGGAGAAAGTAGCAGATCTCCTATCTCAAAAGAAAGCATAGCCAACAATTCCTTCGGATCACCAAGGCCTCTCCCCTCCCCCACCCCTTTGCCCGTTCAATCTCCGTCCCCACCCCCAAACGCATACCCAGGAAGTGATGCCAAATTTAAGCCTATTTGCCCGTTCTCCAACCTGGATCCATTCACTTGGTGTAGACGCGCCAATCAGTCTTCCAGTTCCCTTAGCTACCGGACAGGTCGACAGGTGAGAAGAAAAGAGCAGAGGAGGGGTGAGGAAGAGTGGAGGGAAGGGACGATGGATCAGGATTAAAGCAGGTTCGGCTCTCCTAAGAAAGGCGGATTCCCACCAATCCGCTCTGGATCAGCCGCGGCTGCGCCGCTGCTGCTGGAGCTGACAAAACGCGGTACGGGGGCTGCGCTCTCCGGAGCCGGGGCGGCAGCGCGCTGGGCGGAGGGAGCCCCAGCCCTTCAAACGACGGCTTGCGGGTCCCGAGAGGCAACGGAAGGGAACGTCTGTGTAAAAAGCAGAATCCATGAAAGGTCTGACTATTGCACCGAAAGGGGTAACAAGTATCAGCACAGTCCCTAGCGCCTTGCTCTTCCCAGAATCCCTCCCAAACTCTAGAAATCCAAAGATTCCGAAAATTATGAAAGCGAAACTGCAAGCAGGTCTCTAGAAGTTTGGGAACAGTTTCCCAGGCTTCTCGGCCTTGTCTTAGGACTCCCGGACACGAAAAACACCATCAAAGGCATGAGTGGCGATTTCTCCCACGTCCGCGGGGGATTTTAGTCGGTAATTTACGCGTGAAGGTCTCCAGCCCCGAACCGCTGGAGCCTCCTCGCTTCCAGAGGCGGCGGTCGGCCTGGCTCCTGCTACGTCTCGGTTCTTCCCTCCTTTCTTTCCTCCCCACAAGAAAGGAAAACTTGGGCCCTGCAAGAATCTTGTGGAATATTCTTTGTAATTGATTGTGTATTCACTTCCAACGGCACAGCCCGGTGCAAAATCGCCGGTTTCGGGGCGTTGGAGTTAATTGTGCGCTTGTCGGCGCCGACGTCAGGAGGAGGAGCGGAGGGGTTCCCGGCTGAAACTGCAGTTTACAAGCAAAGAGCCATTTTAGGCTGGTTTCTACTTTAGCGAAGCCGCCAAGGCTGCGCACGGGAGAGCTGTGCCGGGGAAGGACGCGCGGGAAACGAGGCTGGGAGGGGCGGGGAGCGTGCCATGCTGCTTTGCGCGGGGTGGCCAAACGCGGTATTGCCAGAGCGTTGCCAATCGCTCAGCCTCGCCACCCAGGTGGGAAGGGGAAATCTGCCGCTGCGTCTCCAATCCCAGTGACGCTTCTCCCTCTGCCCCCACCCACGGACATCTCGAAGGGGCAGACCCTTCAGACAACGCGGCGTCTTTTTAAGTGGGAGGTAGAACAGAGCCTATCGACCCCTCCTCCAGGCCCCTGCAAATGCCCAAAGACCACGTTACTGCGGTAACTATAAACCTAGCCAACAAAATGTTTTTAGCCCTGTGGTTTAAAACGTCTCAGGGAACTTCACAGCTACGTAGTCAGGCTCGCAGGCCCGGAGAGGGGCCCCAAGGACTTGCCCTCGCCAGGCTCGCCAAGCCCCGGGGAACACGCAAGGCTACCGCCGCCGCGCGACCCCCGATCGCCGCCCTCAAGTCCCTCCGGCTGACACCGCCGCGCGACCTCTGCTAGGCAGCCGCGACCTGGCCACGGGCGACCTCTGTCGGGGACCCCCGTTCCCAGCTAAGCTACGTTACGACATTCCGGGTGCCTCTTGAGCACGGGTGTTCGTGCTTGCTTTCCCTCGAGCTCTCCTTACTGATTCTATTTTGCTCTCAAACTCCACTCCCGGGCCCTCCCCGGCCCCAGATGCCAGCCAACAGCCCCCGCTCGCTCGCCCGCCACGGCCCGGGAACGCCCCACTCGGATCCACCACTCTAGGAGTCCAACCTGAGAAAGGGACACTTTCTTCTGAGAACGTTTTCCCCATCCCCCATCTTCTCTAGAGCGCAACTCGGAAAAGTAACGAGGGCAACTCCATGCCCCGACCCTAGTGGCCTCTCAGCCGAGGTCCGCACGACCTCGCCTTTCTGCTCCTCCAGTTTTGCCCTCTCCGTACCTCCGCAGCGCGCCCCCCACTTCCCACGTCACGGAGTTGCGAAGAGAAGCAGAAGCCCACCGCTAAACACAGCGCGCATCTCTGCACACACAAAACCCCACTGGTGCCTCAAGCCCGAATGCACCGAATACCATGGTCAGTTAGCCCTTTTAATAAGTACCTCCTCGCTCCATCTATTCGGGGCTTTAACCGCACAGGATTTAGCATACAAAGCGGGAGGAAGAGAACTCGTCTCATAGAAAGCCGAAATAAATTATTATCTCTGCCCTCATGTAATTTTCACCACGTGTTATCAGTTTGTCACATCAAATCATGGCAGGATCTGGTTCTAAGATGCACACACACATTCGGGGCGGATCTCTTTGACACCCCCCCCCCAACTGCACACACAGGCATGCACGCTAACCTAAACGACACACAGCAGTGGTGCTTGGATGCCCTAGTCCGGGACACCAGCACCCCTCCTACCACCACCTCTCCACCCCTTTCCCCTCGAGCAATAGACTTTACACACAGGCACTCTTAGCATGGAAAAAACGAGGGCAGCTCATTCCCTCTCTTTTTTCCCATTTAATTCGCTAAAATAGCTCCTGGAGTAACCAAAGAGAGTCGAAACTGGGGGATGGCAACTCTAGTTGGGTTTTTTCCCACCTCAAAACCTTTATTTTCAGGTTTTAAAAGACAGCTTGGCCCGCCATATTGAAACTGGCACGGTATATAAATACTCATTCACCGCAGTTGTAGCGCTTCCAAGAAAACACAAGTGTGGATCAGGCTCTGAACGTGTCTTCGGCAACCGCGTCTCAACCACTTCCCACCCCCAATGCGCCCCTCTCCCCGGCTAATCTCCTCCCGCAGCCCCGTATCAAAATAAATAAATATATCTAGCAGTTTGAACAGTTGTTCTTTGGCGGATTTGACCAAGACATACACACATAAAAAAATAAATTCCGGAGCCAGATCAGGTTAGTAATTCTGAAAGGAGGTCATATGAGAGTAGACAACAGGAAAACCCCAAGTAACAGGATATTACTTTAAAAAACAAAAAGATCATCCATGCTGGAGAAGGCTCCGAAACTCCTATTGAAAATTTCATTTTGGCTGCACAGACAAATGTTTCCAAAAGGGCGAGTCCACATATATACTATTTTGAATCCCCTTGCTGTTCTCCAATCCTCCCCCCCACCACCACCACCACCACCACCTACCCCAACACACAAACACACCAAAGAGAAAAAAGAAACCAAGGAGGGGAGGGATGAGGGGAGCGAGGGATACCGGGGGTGCTGCGTGGCTAAAATGAGGGAAAAAATTAGGAAGGTAAGCCGTGGGTGGGGGCTCCGCCGCGCGGCAGACGCAGGCGGCACACCGCGGAGAACACTTTGCAACTACGGACGTACTCCCGGACGGCTGAGCTTTTCAAAGCGAAGAAACGCGGAGGAAGGGGTAGGGGGAAGCAGAAATGACAACCTAGAGCGCGATCGCAGTTTGGAGCTTCGCTGAAGTGTTGTCGCTTTTTCTCCTTCCCTTCTCTTTTTCTCCTTCCCCCACTCCCGGCTGACTCGGGCTTCCTTTTTTTATAAGCTGGAAAAAAAGCTGACCGGCGCACTCAACCTGCCGGCCGGAGACCTCGCGGGCGGGCTGGGCGCCTGGGAACTGCGGCCGGAGCGGCGTCCTACCTGGTGAAGTTTTTCTACCCTTCGCGGTGGAAGAAGGCCCCGCGCCCTGGGCGCCGCCGTGGAGGGCGGCCGGGCTTGCTAGCTCGCTCGCTCTCCCTCGCCCGCGCTCTCGCTCGCTCGCTCCCCGCCCGCTGCCTTCTCTCTCGCACGCCGGCTCTCGTCCTCCCGCTCCCACTACAGTCTCATTCCAATATGGCATCCTCTCTGTGCGCATGCCCGACACTCTTTTTTAAGATTATTTTTTTTTTTATGCAGCGAACTCCTTCAATGACCTTTTCCAGCGTTTGCAGAATTTCTTAAGCCAATTAGCCTGTGTTACGTTCTCGACTTGCTTTCTCTGCCCCCACCGCTATGCCCTGCTCTCGGCTTACAACCCCCCCCCCCCGCGACGCCACACACTTCACACACACAAATTTCATGCTCACACTCTCTCCCTCCCCGCCCCACTCCCCCTTTATTTTTTTTTTTTTTTAAACTCCATACATAATCTGCGGAAAGTTCAAATCACAAGCGTTTCAGCAAAAACATCTTCAGGGAAAACTGGAAAAACTCAGCATTTGACTGGACTTTTTTTGTTTTCCTGTTTGCTGTTCTTTTTCTAATTCGAGTAATTCCTCTGTTGATAAAGCGCACGAACTTGCACCTTATCTACTGATGGATCGTTTCGAGTGTAGAGAAATCAAATTATAATAAGTAATCTTCGCCCCGCACCCTCCGCCCTACCCTGAACTTAAATGAGCGTTTTCTATGGAGATTCAAACGCTTCCGTACTCCTTAGGGATGACGGGATGGGGCGGAGAGGGATTTTCCAGGGAAACATGCCCCAAGGGGGAGAAAATTAAGTTGGGGCTGCTGGGGCGAACATGCAGCTGCGTTCTGCTGAGCTGGGACAGGACCCAGGTAACAAAGATCGCAACAGCATCTCCTTGGACTTCGCCTGGGCCAGGGCGAGCCTGGCGTGGGCTGGTTATTGCAGAGCGGGAAAAGAATCCTTAGCGGATTTGGAGAAAAACGTGCCCCCCAGCGATGTGATGGAGTGAATTAAAGGCAGCGCAGCCACGTCCAGGGCTTAATTTCAAGACGGCGTCTGCGAACCCAGCGAGCACTTTGCCAGGGGTGTGTGGTGGCCGAGCGCGGAGCACAGAGGGGAGAACTCCCTGTTGGGAGTCAAAAGAATTCCCGGGCCTTATTCGCAATTGATAGACAAGGACAATGAAATGCCCTCAGGGCGGAAAAACTGCCGGCTATTGAGCAGGCAAGACCGAGAGCTTCGGAAGAGGGCTTTGCCTTTAGTGGAGAGGCGGTGAGCTGCTGGCTTTAGTTTGGCGTTTATTTTCCTGGGAATAAAGGACGGACACGTTTGGTCAGGTTTTTTGCTCTATTGCAGAGGGTAGAATTCCCAGAGTCTCCCAATTCTGTATCCACCTCTTTCTCCCAAACCTCTCTCGCCGTCCCTCCATCCCGCCGCAGGCAGGGGGCCAGGGAAACCTGGCGGTCTTCGAGGTTCCTGCCTGTTCTCAGCTCCACCCACCATGCCTCTCCGGAGGAAGGAAGGCGCCCCAGCTGCTGTGGGGCCGACGCTCCTCAGGCGGGGCTGGTCTGACTAACTCCTGACAACCTAGCGACGGCCTCGAGGACAAGTGGAGTCCCGGTTGAGAGGCCGATGCCGCTCCGAAGGGTTGGAGGCAGTTCAGGGACCCGCGATGGCGTGAGGGGGGCAGAAGCTCGCCGCGCGTGGAAAGGCGCGGGAGGGGTGGTCCTGCCGGTGCCTGTCCTTTCCTGACCGCGGGTCCCGAGGATACACCCCTCCTGTCCCCCGCAGGCTCACCGCGACCGGACCCGCAGATCTATTACACCCCCTTGGGGGACTTGTCCGGAAAAAGCTCTTGCCAACCCCTGACTTCAGGAGCGCTCCTCCACCGAAACAGTAGGCCGAGCTCGGAAATCCAGAGCGCGCACGTCCAGTCTGCGGAAATCCTGTTTACTTAAATTTTGGACTGAGCTTTACAAGGTGTAAACGGCTTCACCTGTTCTGTCACTTGGTTCTTACATGTACCCACCTCCATTTGACAGACAGGTCGCCTGAGACCTAGAAGAATCAAGCGACTCACGGCCAAGGGTAAACACCGGCAAAGTTCAAACTCCAGCCCGAGTCAGCGAAACCTCCAGGTCCCTAGTTCTCTCCTCTTAGGGACACCAAGACAGAGCACCGAGCTCTTTGTCCTGAAGGTCCTGGAAAGCAGAGACTCCTCAAACCAAACTGGACCCCGTCCCTCCCCGCCCCATTAGATCACCTTCACCCCTCGAGCATCCTCCTTCTGTACCCAGAGGTAGCTCCAAATTCAATCCGATTGACAGACTGCGACTCCAAGGAATCGAGGGTGTGAACGCCAGACACTGTTTAGCTCTGGTCCTCGGTCTCAAACAACCTAGCCACCTCGCTCTTTCAACATACAGTTTGTCCAGTCGGGAGAGATGGGAGCGGGAAACAGGCCGGGATCAGGAGGACTTATAGCCCCAGAGACCCGATTCGCGCGCCCTTCTCCCTGCTGTTGGCGCGAGCTCTTGAATCGCCAAAGCGCAGAGCCTGCCGCAACAGAGGGGCGCCGGGTGGCTCCGAGTGCGGATTCTCTACCCCCAAGCAAGCCCAGCTCCAGCACCAATGAGCCGACCGGTTTGGCGGTGGCCCTGCGGGAATCGGGCGGCTGTGTCCCTCCTACGTGCGTCGCAGACCTTGCGGCCTCGCTCAGTCGGGGGGAGTGAAGCAGGCGCTCATTTCCCGCCCCTCGGCAGGACTTCCGGGCGGTTCCTGTTTTGAAGAAGAATCAGTCTCTCTCCACGAGCTGTGGCGACGTGAGCTGCAGCCCGCCATTGCTCTGTCACCAGGCTTGTTTAACAGTTTTAAGTAATTATTATTCATAGAACGTTATTTCATCAGAATAAAAACAACTGCAAAAAAACACTTAATAGCTGACTCGATGATTATGTATACATCATATGTGATTGTTCCAAAGTAGTTGAGCCTCTATGTTTTTGGTACTCAGACTCCTGTGTAACTTTGACAATGTGTCTAGAAAGCAGTGCATAGGAGTTGCATTTTTTTGTACTCATCATGATTAAGGAACAAAATCATGAAGTCACAATACACAATGACTGCGTTGTTATCATAAAGAACCTAAACGTTGTCTGTTATGATGTTTCTGGAAGTTTACTTCCCTTCTACTTTCGCATTGCTTTTTCCACGTGACTTCTTGAACGTTCCTTGGCTTTCTATTTTGCATCCTCCCTCCATTCTCTTTTATCCAAGGACACCAATGAGGAAAATGGAAATTGGTTAGACGATTCCCTGAGACAATTCAGGTGGCCCCTTCATCCCACTCCAGTACCTTCCAACTTTCATTTTTATTTCAGAATCGGACACTTTAGGGATATGGGTACCAGAAGTAGGAGCCACTCTAAATCAATTAAATATGGGGGTGAGGGGAGGAGTGGGTGGGATCCAGCATATTCAGTCAAGGGTAAAGCGCTGGTGAAAATTGTGAATGATTTTTCAAAATTGTCATAATATCCTCCAACTCAGGGAAATTTAGTCTTGTAAATCTCACTATGACTAATACCGTAAGATCCCTCCATATATTAACATTTACTAAAAATCTTGGCAAAAAAAAGCCTTTAATCATACCAACTTACTCTAAATGTTATTTCATTGCTAAACAATGGCTTAACTGTGAAATTCACAACCTTTAAAATGAAGCCACATATCTTAAATTAGGGCTTCAAAGGGGCTTTGGAATTCTTCAATATGAATGAGGCTAAATTATTTTAAAAATATTAAAACTGTATTTATTCATGGTAAAACATTTAGATGTTGTTGAATTTTTTTGATGATACAACCCAAAAGCACCTCATTAGGAATCTAAACCAACAATTGAAAAGTTTCTCTCTTATAATCTACATGTTCCTCAGTATTTCTTTACAAAAATTATTGCAGAAGAGTTGAAAATTAGAAGTATATTACTTTGTTATTTAGAATAAAGACATATTAGCCACTTAACTCTTGCTGCATTAATGTGCACACCAAGGAAAAAACTGGGCAACTTGCTCATACCTACTCCATCTTTGACATATAGCTGGACTATATCAAGAAGAAAAAGCCATCAGGATTGGAGGAAGACTGATTAATAACCTTCGATATGCAGATGACACAACCTTGCTTGCTGAAAATGAAGAGGACTTGAAGCACTTACTGATGAAGATCAAAGACCACAGCCTTCAGTATGAATTACACCTCAACATAAAGAAAGCAAAAATCCTCACAACCAGACCAATAAGCAACATCATGATAAACAGAGAAAATATTAAAGTTGTCAAGGATTTCATTTTACTTGGATCTACAATTAATACTCACGGAAGCATGAGTCAAGAAATCGAAAGACACATTGCATTGGGCAAATCTGCTGCAAAAGACCTCTTTAAAGTGTTAAAAAGGAAAGATGTCCCCTCGAAGACTAAGGTGCACCTGACCCAAGCCATGGTGTTTTCAATTGCCTCATATGCATGTGAAAGCTGTACAACAAATAAGGAAGACTGAAGAAGAATTGACTCCTTTGAATTGTGGTGTTGGCAAAGAATATTGAGTATACCATGGACTGCCAAAAGAACGAACAAACCTGTCTTGGAATAAGTACAACCAGAATCCTCCTTAGAAGCAAGGATGGCAAGACTATGTCTCACATACTTTGGACATGTTATCAGGAAGGAAAAGGATATCATGCTTAGTAAAGTAGAGGGCCAGTGAAAAAGAGGAAGACCCTCAACAAGACGGATTGACACAGTGGCTGCAACAATGGGGTCAGGCACAACAATGATTGTGAGGATGGCACAGGACCAAGCAGTTTTTCACTGTGTTGTGCATAGGGTCGCTATGAGTCAAAAAACAACAAGAACTCCATCTTTAAATTATCATTTCCCACAGAGTAAAAGAATGGCTAAGACAGATGAGCCATTATGCTTTCTTAATACAGAGAATGTCTAACGAGATATTAAACATAGTAGCTTAACACAAAAGCAGGGGGTAGGAGATGGCCAGCATCAAACATTTGAAGAATTTGTGCACTCTTCTCTTTACTCAAGCCTTTAAACCAGAAGGTGTTTTCTGCTCAGCTACTTAAGATAGTACTTTTCATCGGCCTTCTAAGTCACTCACTGTGAAGTCTAAAGCTACTCCTTACCTTATTCTTTGAACCTTTTTCCTTGACACTTATCCCCAGTTGAAGCATTTGGCT